CTGAAGCTGGGGATGAACAACAACAAAACCAAGCAGACGCACTTCAGAGCTCAGGTCATGTTCTAAAGCGGGACCGGGGGGAACCCAGCGGGGAACCCAGCGGGGGGCCGAATGGGACGAGGACCGGTCGAAGGTCTTTGTTGCATCTTTCCAGCCAACGAGACTTTGAGTGCAGAACGGAGTGCAGCTGCTTCGTGGGTTCGCTGTGTGAAGGAAACGCAGCCGTGTGGGTGAGGGGTTCGTCTGATGGAGTGAATCTTCACTCGCTTCTTCTTCTCGTATGAAGAGCAGTTATTACGTCTGTTCTTCGTAGGAAACAAACCTCCATCTCCGTCTCTGTGAATGTGCTCCACTGCAAACAACACGTTTATAAACATGATTTCTGAAACTGAAGATCTATATGAAGGTGATTTCACTGTTTTTCAGTTACGTAACACACTTTTCTTTTCTTTTTTTAACTGACAGAATTACATCGTTGTGATTAAATGTGCTCGTAATACATCAACAGAATAAATGGTTCATATTTATATGATGCACGGCAGTCTTCTTTAAATGATACTTGTTTTAACTCTTTGTTTTCAGGTGAAAGAACTGAAGTCTGAGCTTTATTTTAATCTTCATAAACAGACGTCCTGTCGGCCAGTAAAGCTTCACTGGTTTATGATTGTCTGAGTTTAGCTCGTCGGATTCATCGGTTGTCAAAAATGTCAGGAAGGAAAAGCCGAATATATATTTGAGGTCATTAAGAGATGACAGTTTGTCCACCGGCCAGAGTTCATCTTTCAACCGTTAAATGTCTCTCTAAAGAGCCGACATATCGTGGCCACGATAGTTTAAATATAACACAATTTAACATGTTTCATGCTAAGAAAAGAAGCTACTTTAGGATTTTTTGAAACGGTCAAATATGAGATCTGCTCAGTGTTAAACACTAGACCACAATGTGAAGGTCTCACAGAGACCAGTCAAGACCACGACAGCCGGGACGTCACTAAACCACCTGTCTTGATTTAACATCATTACTGCAAAGCCCTTTGATTGTTTTATCAAAGACATTTCTGATGGTGCACTTAATATAGTTGACATGGTAATAAAAGAGGGTTTAATGTGGATCTGAGGTTTGCATGTTCCATCGTAACTGTGTCATGCAGTGTGGGACTCCCACTGGTCTGGTCGTGACTCGGTCTCGTCTCCATCACTGGTACTGCCCCTCAAAAGTCCGGTGTTGGTCGCGTTTGTTGGCTCCAGAGTATTAGCGTGATGCTAACCCTTCAGTTAGCGTGATAGCATACTAAAGTTTAGGATGTAACTCAAGTGCATTAGCTTGTCAACACTGCAGTTACTGTAGCGCAGTGTTAGCATGCTATAGTAGCATCCGTTTAAAGGTCTGATGTCGTTAGTTTTAAGCATCCTTTTGTGATCTGAAGTGTTTTTAACAATTGCTGCTAAAATCAAGAATAACAAAACTTCTGGAATCACTTTAAATTCTATCAGTAAAGCGAGTGCCCGTGTAGTTTCTCTCTTCAGGTGCGTCAGATTCATCGATGACTCGTGCAGATGATGTCATGGAGAGCTGGAGCCGGATGCTGACCCACCACACCGACCCGCTAACGAGCTCAGTCACTCCATTTGTTTGTGGTCCTCCACTTTATCTCTGGCAGGGATGGCTCTCCACTTCCTGTTTCATTTATTTATCTTTTGCAGGCCGGGAGAGTGTTTGTGGCGTGATGGTTTCATTGGGGGGGGGTTATGGCACTCTGCCCACACACTACGCACTGTTTGACAGGGTCAACAGGAAAAACAGAGGGGGGGGGGGGGGGGCTCTGCAGACAGGCCGACGGCGAGAAGGAGACTAATTGATGAGGACGAGTCGGGCTGAGAGGCATTAGCGCTGGAACCATGGGAGGAACCAGAGTGATGAGCTTCTGAAGGCCGGGAATGAACATTTAAGACCAGCTGTTGATTTACTGAGTTTTCTCACGTTCACTATTTAAAATGTTGCCTTCAAATCTACTCCAGCTCTTCATGATAATCTGACAATAAGTTAAGATAAAAAGGTAATGTACGTGAACTGAATTAACGTGAAGATGGTGCTTAATTGGCAAATTAGCAGCAGCTTTCTTTTATGGAAGCAGCTGGGAGGAGTTTTTATGTTTTTATTTAGTCTCCGTGCTGGAAGCTGTCCTGATTGGACAGTCTGAGTATTGGATCACAGCTCTTTGTCCTGATTGGCTCCCTCTTCTCTGCTTCCTGGAGTTGGTCCAAAAAAATCTTGGAGAAAATATATTCAGCATGTTCGAGGCCCTTTCAGACTGAAATATCTCAACTATTGGATGGATTGACATGACATTTAGTAAAGACGTTCATTTTCCTGAGGATGAATTCTGCAGGATGAATTCTTTTGATCCCCTCGTCTTCCTCTATTGCATCATTAAGTCAAATACTTCAGTTATAGACCAAATAAATGTTAAACATGAAACCTGCTTAATATCAGTTAACGTTCTTATGTTGAGCTCGTTAGCATGCTGACGTTAGCGTTTAGCTGTCACATTGCAGCTCTTTTAGTATGTTACAAACATGTATAACTGGACTTCTTGGCTTATTAAATATTAAGAGACATGCAACCTTTTGCTGATTTATTATTGATAAATCCAACTGAAGACAGTAGAAGGTATTTTTTCACAGCTTGGCAACACGAACGTTCCTATGAATGTCTTTTAACTGCTGTATAAAGCATTAGTGAATTATTTATTAACCATTAATAACGTTAGTAGTTCATTTATAAAGCCGTGATACAGGGGGACTCTCCAAACGTCTTCTCAGACAAACCTCCTTTGGTTGTGTGAACGGTTGGCTTGATGTGTTTCCAGTATAAGAAGAGCACAACCTGAAGTCCTTCTTAATACATATTAGGTGGAGAGACGCCACGCTATCCGACAGAAGAGTCCAACAGTGAACTCTGAGACGGTCCATCTCAGCCTCCCAAACCAAACGGAGGCCGTTGGCCCGGCCCTGCCTGCTCTCAGCACGATGCCCGGTCTCCCTCCGGGGCCCCCGGGGACCTGGTATTGATCGGTGCCTCGTAGGTAGTGATTGGACATGAGTGGATCATTTCCTTTGTTGCATTAGAGTCCATTACTGGCCCGCTCCCCGGAAAGCGATAGACATCCTCAAAAGAAAAAAAGAGAGAGAGAAGATTCTTCTTGGGAAATCAGTTTCCTCCGACAAATGATTCACCGACGAAGAAGAATCCTCAAACTTTATTGTCGGGTTGATGAGATACGAGGTCACGGCAATAATTAAGATGTTTTAGTCTTTTTCTAGTCTGACAGTAGATATGTTTATGGGTTAACAACACTTTATTTAAGCCTCTTTAGCTTAAATGGTTTGTGACGTCATAATGTAGCTGAAAGCAGAAATCGGGTTTTATTATTTGTCACAAACTAACTCCTCCTGGGCTTCTAGTGGAGGCTGCTGTGTAAACATAATTACTTTAATATAGATATTACAATATAATAAAACACAGTTGTCATATCAAGTATGTCTTCAGATGTTTATCCTTTACTTTGAGCTATTTCAACTGTTATTCTATTACTTCTAGTCATTTATTACAATGTGTCTAACTTTGAATGCATTTAAGAACAGCTTGATTTATTATATGTGTTATTATTGATCCATTTAGGAACGGTTCTTCGTGCTTTCCTGGATATTTGGTCAATGCAATGAGAAGTTGTACCACTAGATCTCATCATCTGGGTGAAGATGAGTGAAACGTGCTCGTTAAAGTTAAAGTGAGAAGTTATTTGTTGAGAGGTTTCTATTAAACTAGATTTACTTTATGAAACATTTGAAATCCGCTCAAATGGAAGAAATGTTCCAGATGTTGAGGTGGCTGCAGACTCTGCTCTGCTTACCGGTAAGTTAACGTGTATAATAGTCTAATGTGTTTTTGATCATAACTAACTTCTAACATCTGCATCATCTTAATGCCACAACGGCACTTTATATTTTGTAATTTAGTTTTTTACTTATTGGTCCATAGTGAACAGTATAACTGTGTTTTAACGCATCTAATTGACAAAAAAATGATAAGTTTAATAAAGTAACAAATATTTGGTTTCAGCTTCTGCTGCTGTTGGAGTTGTTTTTTTTCTCTTTATTCGTTCGATTGCATTTGTCAATTTCTGTCATTTGAATTGGACAGTTTATCTGAGTAATAATCCATTAGATCATTAATAATGAAGATGTGGGTTTGGTGGCAGTAGACCACCTCTCCTCGCTGAAGAAGTCCACCAGTGACAGCTTTGCCTTTTACTGTGATCGAATCACAGTAAAATATTTGACTCATCCTTATTTCGATGTGTTCCAGAGCTGCTGCTGGTTTTGGAGGACTGTTTTGTCTATAGGCTATTAAATGGTGGTCTATCTGACCCCTAAAGTTCTCCATCAACCAGCTTCAGAGGTAACAGCATCCTTTATGGGCTGATGTGCCTCTTTAACACTCAGATGTTTTAAGCCACCACCCTTGATAGTGACGGCATTTTGTAACCCAGCAGGTCCCCCTTTACCACAGGGAGGGTGCTGCGGGGTCTCCACATCTCACCACATGAAGTGGGCACAGCCTGCATGTCCTCTGTGGATAGGCGGACCGGGCTGCTGCTGCTGCTGGGATCATCATGCAGCTCATCTCTCTTCTTGCAGCCGGCTGTGCAGAAGTATAGCGCGTGCACGGGCCTGGAAAGTTATCTCCTCCTCATCGTATTAACAGATAATAAAGTCATTGATTGCTCATTCTCCCCGGGGGGGGGAATGTCCTTTTCTGCTTCCTGAGAGGTGCAAGACTGGTCTGAGAACTTGCAGCTTGAGGATTCTTGCTCAAGAGCCCGTCAGCAGGGTGAATTCTCGCCCACATCAGGTTGGGGGGGGGTTTTAACCCGGGTTGTCCTGTGGTCTTCCTCACGCGTCCTTGGTGGGGACTAAAGAGGCGGGGGAGGAGGAGGAGGAAGAGGAGGAGGAATAGGGGGAATCCGGACGTCTGAGTCCCCGCGGCGATGCATGGAGGCTGCTTGGAAATGCTCCCGGGGTCTCCGGAGCGCATGAGGCGGTTCCAGCCGACCGACGCGCTGCAGAACCGGGGGGGTCCGGCCGCTGATCCGCAGCTCCTCCAAGCTACCACTCCATAGTTTCGGCTACAGGAGCACGCTTCGGCTCGGTATCCACGGAGCGGAGGCATATATCTGGGAGCCCAAAGGCTGCATCACGTCCTGGCGTCGCAGTGGTGGTGGATTACCGTGTGAAGCGTCGGGGTGGCGTCTATGCCATTTTTATCTCGACTTTTCATTTGATCATGAGCACAGAGGAGGGAGAGGCGGGTCCAGCGTGTGGGGAGGCGAGGGGAGGCACCACCATCACCCACCGCCACACCTGGGAGGAAAGCGAGCCGCACGGCTCCCAAGGACGTCGGAGCCCCGACGACGACGAGGCGGAGCGGGGAGAGGAGGGAGAGGGCTGCCGGGAGAGCCGGAGCTGCAGGGATGCGTGTGACGGGGACGACGCGGGGACTTTCTCCAGCGAGGACGGAGCGGTCGGGGGCAGACCGGGCAAAGAGCAGACGATGCATTCAAACTGCAGCAGCGAAACCTGCATCCCCACTCCCAGCTGTCGGATCTGCTTCCAAGGCGCTGAGCAGGTAAGTGTGTAGTCCTCTGACACGTTCACAGGTCTGATACACCAGCGTGGCATCACATATTCTCTTCTAAAAGAGCTGCTTTTACAAATGGTGAAAGTTGGTTTCAATAGAATGAAGGTGAGGTCAGTCCTCACAGTGATTGGCTCACTGCTGCAACTCATATTTTGTATTTCTTATTTAACCTCTAGGCAGGTCATCTGTGTGACACGGGGTCTCATTCTCAAGACAGACTTGGTTGAGACATAATAGGACACAAAGGTGCAGACAGACAGGACATTCATCAGAGACTAAATGAGATATCTGCTTTCACAACTGGCCTGATTGGAGAGATTTCAGTAGTGAGGAGCGCCAACCAGAACCAAAACACATACGAAGGCTTAATCTGTCACAATTTAAACAAACTCAATTTAAGAGTGTAAAGAACATTGAACAGAAAAGTCCCATTTAACAACACAGGCCTTCAGCACCACGGACAGCGCATGGCTACCCCAGGGGCCCTCAGAAGGCCCCCAACATACAGAGGAATATCAGAGTTTTACTTTTTAACAGATGAGTTACATTGACTTTACTTTTTTACATTCTACAATTACAATCCCTTCAATGTGTTCACACTCAGACATTAAAGCGGATTCAGAGAGAAATGTTCTTTTTGTACTCATTTACATGCTGAATGTAATTTACAGAGTTAACGAACAAAACATGTGATCATCTTCTGAAATATGCAAAGTTTTAAACTACCCAACGATATATAAAGCAATTAAAATGAGTCCTTCCTCGACATACAGCATCTATGATCTCTGAAGAGGCTAAAAGCAGCTAAAACCATTTCATCGATTTAAAAATGAAGAACCACATCGAGTCAGAGTGAGTGTGACTAATAGCCACATGACACTTCCTCCATGACGTTACACCTTCCCTCTCAGGGAGGGAACTGCAGTCGATGCTTTAAGAACATTATAATCTGAGGTCAGGAGCTCCTTATATCTGACCTTATACCAAACATTTAAAGTTATATGTAACAACATTATATTATCCTGATGATCACCTGGAACCCTTTAGGTCCCCGAACCTCACTTTTGGAACCAGTGACTAACGGTACAAGAACAGCAGCAAAAGAAACACAAGGTTGTCCATAAAAGAAAAGGACGCATTCATTTAGAAAGTAGTTTAAAACACAACAGCATAGCTTCAAATCAGACTTCAGCACCAAGGACAGCTCACCATGTCGGGTTCAGAGTCTGACGTCATCGTGAGTGATTTCTCTCTCACAGACTTCTCACCAGTTTCATTACATTTGCATTCTAAATGTCTAAATGTTTAACTCGCATAACAAATGTTTCACAAAGACATAATGTGACTCATTTATATCTAACAGATCAGACACATGACTTAGGTCCACTGGGTGGACAACGATGCCTCATGCTTTGTTTTGCTGTGTGTGTTCATAAATTACGACCCGTTAACCTTCATGCACTCCAGCAGACAAGCTTTAATGTAATATTAATATATTTGTGTTTTAAAGAACTGAAATGAAAGCTTTAGATTCCAGTTGTTCAGCTGAACAGACATTTTTATGAAAACATCAGTCATGAATAAAAACAATCACAAAATTATGGCAAACTACGGATTTTTGAGCAACGTTTTTCTACTTTTCAGCTTTTTTGTAGTTATGAATGAATGTCATGTTATTGTTAACACGACAACACAGCCGTTAGATCTGTTAAAGTAGCCAGTGTTAGTGTTGGTATTCAGGAGATTAGTGGGGCTTATCTCTGTAGACCAGTCCAGATATCAGTGAAGCCCAGTTACACACATAGTGAAGAGGTCCAGACTCTGAGGTAGTACTGACCTGACAGTGTCGTAACCCAGGAAGGATCATGTTCGAGTGATAAGAATTATAAAAAAAAGAATAAACATTCAACACTACCAAGAGTGCAGAAGAAGTTGTCTGCTCAACGTTTCATGTTTCTGACGTCTCTGCAGTTTACAGTTTGTAGACATGTGCGTATTAATAATCTGACATTCATCCAAATAACATCTAAAATGTAGTTTTGTCCAAGCTTGATACCATTAACCACGAGAGGAGGAAGCCAGACATGGAGATGAAATCAGCAGTTTCCTTCAGAGGATGTTTACTGTTCATACAGTACATTAGGTTTTATGGTACGGCTATAAATTGATATTTTAACGGAGTCCTTTCAATTATTTCATTTTTTTTGCATTGATTTCAAAAAGTTTTGTGAGTCAGGTTTATTTGTAGAGCAGCTTCCAAACACAAAGGTAGTTCTAACTGCTGTGAATACAATGATATAGTACTTATTAAAATCAGTGCATATTGTAATGAAGCTGTAAACATTGAATCCTCATGAAATGCCAGAACTCCAGTGAAACGATGTCCAGCGTAGAGTTGATTTAACTTCAGGTGTTCCAGTAAGCAGAGGTAGGATTGGTTATTTGTACACTCAACACACAGTGAAACAAACCCCATCATGTGGTTGATAAAAGCGTAAATCACATGGATGTATGATACATATCATCTCCGAGCGATACATCAGTCTAACTGTCTCCGTGTCTTCCTTCCTGGAGGTGGCTGGACAGATGTGGACACTCTGTCCACCCCGTCTCTGAAATCTGACACTCTCGCCGGCCTGCTTGTCTCGTGACAGCGAGCCTCGATGAGGGACGTTCATCCCCCGCCAGAGCTGAAGGGAAAGAGAGGAGTCAGGGCCGTAAATGCCTAAGTGAATATCCTGTCTCCTGAACGTGGGCTGTGCACTATTAGCTAATCTAATAGCTCTGCCTCCGGGTCCAGACTGATATTTGATTTTTATACAAGGCCCCGCAGGCCGAGCAAGCTCGCCAGCCATCAAGACGATTGCAAAACCAGAAATTTTAAACTTAAAAAATATTCCTGTCTGAGCAGATGAGATTCACAATGAGACGTTCTTTAACACCAAAAGAAGACCAAATGAGACCAAACAGTAGTCAACAAATACAATCTCAACTCCAAGTTGTTCTTGGTGGTTTGTTTAAACAACTGCTGCCAACATGGACGATTGGTCCGAAATAAAGGTTCACTTACTGGACTTTTACATAAATGTCAACCGCGTCCCACAGTCCTCATCAAGTGGACCTGATTTAAGATTATATTTTCAGTTATTTCAATTCTTTGACAAACAATCATAACTCTAGGTGTACTTACATCTCCTTCAGCAGCTTTCCTTATTTCACTTTGTTCTGTCCACTGATGAAGACAGTGCCCAACGGTCGAAAGCTGAAGTATTCCTTAAGTTGAAGGAACTAGGTCCCCTTAGTAGCGTTTTCGGGAGATAATTGACAAACTCCTCCTCATTGCAAACTCCATCTGCTGATGAAGACCATGCGGTCCAGTCGAAAACTCCAGAACAAATGAGTCAGGGCCCCTTTGAGTTGAGATTGTTTTGGAAATGAATGAAAATGATCTTAACTCAAGGTCCACTTCCTATCGTTTGGGGACACTTTTGACTATGTACAAACTTTATACATTGATGAAGACCATGCGATGATGTTCAAAGCAGTGTAGAAAGCCAGTAAGTGGACCTTGAGTTTAGATGCTAATGATCTGAAACTACAATTTCTAAGGTCAAAAATGAACCGTCATGCTCCATAGTGTGTTTTTATTCGGATGGTCGAGTGATTTTAACAACGTAAACAATTTTAACGGCAATGTTGCCGGTTCGATTCCTGGCAGAGAACCTTCGGTGCATGTTTCTGTCCCCTCGTTTCTCTCTCTCTCTCCCTCTGTCTCTCTGTCTCTCTCTCTCTGTCTCCGTCTCTCTCTGTCTCTGTTTCTCTCTCTCTCCCCCTCTGTCTCTCTCTCGCTCTGTCTCTCTCTCTCTGTCTCCGTCTCTCTCTGTCTCTGTTTCTCTCTCTCTCCCCCTCTGTCTCTCTCTCGCTCTGTCTCTCTCTCTCTCTCTCTCTCTCTCTCTCGTTGTTTCCTGCCTCTCTTGTCAGAAACAAATACATGTTTATACTTTAGCTCTATTATCACCCTTCAGTTGAAGACTTTCTTGTCGTCTCTAGAATTCATTGGCCGTTAAATAAACGGACTGTTTTTCGTCAAATCCTGTGAGAAATCACAAACGTATTAAAATCCTCCTCGATGTCTCATCAGTCGCTGCTTCGGTGGATCACTGACCCGCTTTTAGTTCATTCAAGCGAAAGCCTCCGCGGTCTTCTTAAACCCACAAGGTTAATATGACACGCTGAGAAACGAGCCGGCTGACCGCTGACCTTAATATACTGTTAGTATGCGGCTCACAGCCGCGCCGGCAGGTCAAAGCTGCAGCAGTGGCTGCTCGAGGAAGGCCTCGGATACCCGTACGGCTGTGATGATCAATGTCACGCTGCATCCCGCCGTTAATATCCGCCATGAGTCTGTAGCTTTGAGAAATGATCATCGATCTGAGCGATGCTGGTAAAGGCCTCTGGTGAAACAAGTTGTGTGTTTGTCTTTGATGTACGACCCCGCTGAGAGACAACAGGCCAAACTGTGGCCTGAAAACAAGGATCTCTAGATGATGAGGAAGTTGACATGTAGACCCTTTGAAATGGAGGTAAGATAAATATTGAGGACAAGGTTCTAATATCGACTCAAAAGAAGATCGTTTCTTTAACATTCCATCACTGGCGCTACAGAGAGTGGTGCAGATCATCAAATACACCAGACAAGATGTGAATATTAATGTTATAGCAGTCTTTGTGTTGCTGCTTCCGTTCCGTCGTTAAATGTGTGCAGAAGAGAACGTTTCAGCTGTTCAAGTGATGAAACTACATCATGCTCAGCTCGGAGCTCCGTCCTCCATCATGTCAGGCTGTGGAGTGAGTTCAGAAGGTATAAACCTCAGCAGCTGTCCAATTTCATTTAGCAATTCATTGTTGTTGCCCTCCAGTGTAATCTGCCATTTGTTGCCCCCCCCCACCCCCATTTTAATCTGATCATACCTGACCTTTGGCCTCTCTCCGGTCTTCAGGGCGACCTGCTGAACCCGTGTCGGTGTGACGGCTCGGTGCGTTACACCCACCAGCACTGCCTGCTGAAGTGGATCAGCGAGCGAGGCTGCTGGACCTGCGAGCTCTGCTGCTATCGCTTCCACATCATCGCCATCAACCTGAAGACACCTTGGCAGGTAAAGTACTGCAGGACGGGTGATTCCATGGGCCAGTTCCTCTCTGGGTACAGCTGCCTCAGGCAGGGACTGTTTGGTGGAGATGGCAGTGAGAAACAGCCACATCTGACTCCAGAAGATATGTTCGCCTGTGGAAACACACGCCTACTTACGGCAATTACAAATGTCAACTACATAAAAAAAGATTGACTTCCTACTGCCTCTGTGATTCAGGTCTAGCTCGGTTTAGTTAACTCAAACTACTGGGTGAAGGTTCAGGATAGATGATGACCAGATGTGGTTTCTAATGAGGAGAGCTCTCCCAAATGAAGGAGCTCTGAGATGATAGATTGAAGGCTGCTGTTTCACCTCTAATCACATCACTCACCAGTCAGAACGTCTGGAGAACAGAGAGACCAGCTAGAAAGAGTCCTAACACAGAGGCTGTATTTGAAGATCTGGTGCCACCTTTACAAAAATGTTGTTCTTTTCTGTCTGCAGTGTCACTTAATGGTCATTTTGTGTGTCTTTGTAGGCACTTTTGGTGTCTCTTTGCAGTTGTTTTGTGTCTCTGTGTAGTTGTTTTGTGTCTCTTTGCAG